GCTTCGGCCTGGCAGCAGCACTTTGCGCCTCCCCCCCCCCTTCGCTAAGTTGGGAAGAGCACACGCGTCCGCCCGCGCCAGCCCCTGTCCGCGTCGTGCCGTCGAGTTTTTCGCTTCCGCGGAGCGCGCGCAAAGCCCGCCTGCGGAAGCCCGGAGGAAATGGAGTTTCACAGAGGGGAATTCCTACAGTTGCGTTATGAAGATCGTTAAGCACCTCATTAAAACATAAAAAACCGCGACGTTTGCGCAAAAATAGTCTTCACTTTGAATGAGACCGAACGGCAGCAAAAATGTCGGAGATCTACATTTGCTGTACATTTTTAGATATTTCCAGGATCTGGAACTTTTGTTCAAGATTGACAATCAAAACCATTCACTTACATTTTGCGTATATATCTCGTGTATTGTATCTGGTCGTGTTTGTTCTATCAAGGAGCATTTTAGAGGCGTACTTATTCCCATTTTATTCTATTGTGTATTTAATCATTATTACGTTGTTAACACACCAGATTCATATTTTTGTGCAAACATATTTTTATCATTTTGTTTCAAACCAAACCACAATCACTAGATGAGATAAGACAAAACAGAAAGCAAAAAAGAAAACATTTTACGAGAGTACCCAATACAGAAGAATTGCTTAACATAACAGGTTATTTCCCGTAATCACTACCCATGAAGATTTTAAACCCAATTCGGAAACTATGGTACTATTTGGCATTCAGCGTTGTCAGCCTCGAAGAGTCACGCCTTTCGAAACAAAACTAATCATAGAAGTGGGTTAAGACAGAAGTCGAATGTCCATAGGTAGTGGTAATTGGTTTACGTATATTGAGAAACGATTAAACTATTATGAAAGATCTCAGGGTTCTTCATTTATTACGTTTTGTTTCCAGGATTTTTATATTTTTGTGCAAAGATTTTTTATCATTTTGTTTCAAACAAAACACATATTAGATCGAGATAAGAACAACCATGAACACAAAAAGAAATATTTACAGTACTGTTGCCGGAAGCACCTCATCATTCAGGGCCGGACTATTCCTTAAGGGGGATCGAGCACCAGAAAATTACGGATGCTTACGTCAGGTGATGCCAATGCACATGGCCGGTGATTGCTTGTTCTAGCGGGATGCAAGGCGCGGCAGCTGGCTTGGAGGTTGAGACGACTGACTCTTGGATCACCACCCTGCATCACCAGACGCCTACTCAAATGCAGCGCTTATCCTGCCTTGCTATACAACTCATCTGTTGTTAGACTGTAGAAGAACTCCATTAATAAAAGTGTGTGACGGGGGAGAAGAGGAGAGAGTTGCTTTCATGGGCGCCTGCGTGTATGTATACACCCGTGTATGTATGCATGTATGTTTGTGTATTATAGGTAATGTAGTGTAGTATAGGTAATGACATTGTACTCACTTTAATTTTTATGCGATTTTTATTTCTTTGGAAGTGAAGAGTTTTTTAATGTTTTGAAATTAATGACTAATTAATATGTTAAAGAATATATAGATTAAGTAGGAGTTTCAAGTAGAAGCACTATTTCATTGTGATTTAATTAAAGGTACGTGTACGAATGATTCACCGTTCCTCATATCCTTTGTTATAAACTTACTGGGACATTTTTGCGTCTTATTTTAACTGCAAGAGTAATATTGTTAAACATTTCCTGAAATTCTTAAACGACGAAAAACTGTCTCATTACCGACGTAAATGATATTATTACTTCATTCTTAACTGTGGCTCATAACTAGGGTCCAGCTCCTTATGACATGGATGAGGACCATTTACCATACTACTGATTAAATTATCAACATTTATTCATCTACTTACGAAATCTCACAAGCATGACAATGTCACCAGGCTGTTCATAATACTGTAGATTGTTACGGGACTCAGAAAACATTAACGAAATTAGGGGACCGGTTACATCATACAGACACTTTCGCTCGGAGATACTGAATTCAGAGGAATGGCAATCTGCGGCTCTTCTCTCTCGAGGAGTAGGACGTGCAAAATTAACGCCGAGCTGATGAGGTCTGCGTGAGTCCATTACCGCGTGCCCCGCGCCGTGCGCACGCGTGGGCGCCGTGCGCGGCGAGCTGCGTGCGAGGGGACGAGAATGCCGACCAGGGCGTTGACCCGTATTGTGTTCGTCATGTATCGCGTAGTGAAACATCGCGAGGGCGTGGCTTGTCACGGAAGCCGTGGAGGAAGCGCCTCCTTTCGAACTTTCCGTCTTCAACGAGTTGGCGCGTTTGCGGGATGGGTGCTACAACTGATGCCGCGTGTTTGGCGTCCTATGCAGTGGTTGCAATTGTGATTCACGAGTATTCAGGATCATCGGTACCGAACGCTTAGACGTTGCAGGGCAGATTTTTTCGTTGACTGATAATTCCGGACTAAGTTCATAGGTCTCACAAGTGTAGTGCATGTTATTATCACGGGAGGACGCGAAATTTTCTCCCGCTGGGTGGCGAGATCCGCCGCCGACCTACGTCGTCTTGCGGGGATTTTCCCCAACGAAGCATCTCCCACCAGCTAGGCACCGCCCCAGACGGATCATGTTCTAAGCTCCCGTCTGGTCTCCCTACAAGTGTGGTAATATAATTCACGTAAGTGAAAAAATAATTATATGCGACGTCATTACCAACAATATTATTTATTAGAAAAGCAGATTTCGATGTCTTATCCATCATCATCAGTTTTCTGCTGTATCGAAGCCACAAAAACGACTACCTTACAGCGGCTTCCATACAGCAGAAAACTGATGATGATGATGCTAAGCCATCGAAATCTGCTTTTTTAATAAATAATATTGTTAGGCAGTACGACGCATTAATTATTTCATAGAAATCTAACCGATAACTCACCACAACACCTACATGTAAATGAATGTGAATGGATTAACTAAGCGTAAGGATAGAATCGAAGAGAAGAAATATCGCGCGTGGTCCGTAGCTCGTTTGTACAGTGCTGCTCCTGCATTTCCGGTATGATCGGAAAAAATTCACGGAAAAATCTACCGATCAGAGCAGCGACGCGCTAGAATCTCCGTCCAAACATGAGCTGAATTGGACCTCTTCTCTGTAGTCAGTGTCTAAAAATTGATGCTCGCTTCCTGTTACATTGCACGTCGAGGAGGAATTGCCAACGACAGGATGAGTGAAGTAAGAGTGTCACCATCACCAAGTCTGTGGGATAAACATTCATAGATTAGAAGAGATTAACCGAGAGTCCTCGCCAATATTAAAAAATGTACAAGCGTACCTCCTCCGCTCCGGAATAACGCTTTTAATGGTGGAGCTTATATAAGAAAGTATAGAGTATTGCAGTGCAGGTTTTTCTATGCTGAGTTTAAGCCATTAAAACCATTTTATGGCTCATGAGAGTATCCATGGAGAAATGCAAAATTGGAGAGAAAAGCGCTGTGGCAGATTTACTACGAGGCATGAGGAAAATAGCAGCACTGCACTGGCGGCCAGAAACGGATTACTTCTATGGGTAAAGCGGGATCGGTGAAGCAAGCTAGCTCAGGCTTGTACCCAACCTTAACTTTTTTGGTTCATCCAGTAATAAGATAATTAATTTCATTTAATATCACTTAAAAAAACTTGTTTGCGCGCCTGTTTTTTAAAAAAAAAAAATTAAAAAAACCCAAAAATAAATTTTGAAAAAGGGGAAAACGAATCAATTGGCAATTATAAAAAGTACTATTTTTCTAGAATAAGATTCATACAATATATTCTAAAAACTGTATTTTTCTTCTATCATAGACAATAGCGATTCACATTGCAAAGAAGTTACTCGCACAGAAATAAACCTACCTTACAATTCACTTATGATAATTCATGTTCAATAGTGGCTAAAAAGATGATCATTTAACCAGACCTAACATTTACCAAGTAACATTTAAAACAAGTACATCTGTTGTGTGTGTGTACACAAGTTACAATAATTCATTGATTTCATAACATAACATTATTTACCTTTTTTATCTTGATTAAAATTGTTTAAAAAAATGTAATTATTGAAATTACATGTATAGTCCATACTTGCAACACCGTTAAAAATTATGCTTAGGTACAGAATTCCTTCCCCTTACGATTGTAATAGGCAGAGATTCCAATATACACGTCCGTTGTATAGCTACAATCCAGCAAACATGCCATTCCGAACTCTTGTCTTAATCCTCTTTCAATCTCCTGTTTTAGTTGGAAAATCTACGTATTCTCAATGCAAATAATATTTTTTCATTTTAGATCACATATTCTGCGATGCAAAGTTGTGTTTTTTGGAAAGTTAGTGACAATTTTTGTATGTAAAAAACCTATTTATTGAGCTTCGAATACTACCAGTCTTTTGCCTTTCATTGTGAATCAATTACTATTCTCAAAACTATTTATTCAAGAATAATTTCATGCAATTTATATCTCTTTTCTGCCTTCCTTAGCTAACCGTATTCTATACTTCAGGTCACAGAACCGGAATCATTTCGGCACCTGAAATGAAAGCATATTTGAACTAGTGTGGCAACAAAAGCATATACTTTGTTGCTGCTTTTCTAACTGATCCGCTACATTATACTACTGTACTATACTACTAAACCTTCAAAACTGTTTTCACCCAGCAAAACTTTTTTCCGTTCGGAGTCCCGAACTCAATTCTCCGAGTCACTCATACCATGACACCACAGAAGTGCCACGCGAGCCGAACTCGGGCGAACGCATAAAAATGCTCGCTTCGGGTAAAAAATTCAAAAATCAAAATATCTGTTCCAAACTCTGAAAGGTTCGAGTTCATTTATAAGGATCGGGGAATATCAATTTTGAAGAAAATCTGCTGATATTCCTTTTCGTCGCTTGTTTAAAAATGTGTTTCGTATTCATGAAATTTGTCTGCAGAGTTACAAAGAAATATGTCCCTGCACACTTTTGTTATGAGTAATTAATTATTATTAGAGGTCGAAATTAATGGTTTTTCTCAAGAGTTGTTTTCCAACCCGGGCAAAGCTGAGTCTTTAGAAGTTGTGTACAACGAAGTCTCTGAATCAGAGAAAATCTGTGAGATAGACCGGTATTATTGGTCTCTTTGATGACTTCTTCGGTCGGTTTGAGAAATATGCTGGAGCCACACCAATCGCGAACAAGCCTTCCTTCCCCCATCCGTTCTCTGTCCGTCTGATTGATCATACCTTCAGTGACTATGCGGCTGACTCCCTACGTCCTTAAGCGAGAAAGTGAGCTATACTTTAGTATAAAAGAAATCAATTGTGTATTGTACGATGAAGTAGATAAGAAAGACCGCTCATGTAGATATTATGGAAAGATATATAATTGCTCCCCACGCTTTAAAATGAGTTCTTTGAACATATTTTAAAATATTTTCATACTTAAATCATACTTTAATTTATTAATTTTTGTTTTTAATTGTGTAGAACTATACGAATAAATATTTTGTTCCCCACCAGCAGACCGAAACGCCTGGAACCTCATTTACCCAAATTCAAACGGTGGTTGGGAAGGGACCTCACTGAGGGGCGGACGGACCGACACCCGTCGGTAATCTAATTACAAAATGTAGGATACATTATCGTTCGAAAAACATTCTTTATAGTAGTTCAAGTACAATAAATTTGTTGGCTTACATAAAAGTGTTATATTACTGTATTTATTATAAAGTAAATCTTACAACGGTTACAGGGAAGTCTTAAGTAATTAACAATTTATTTTATCTTTCAAAAGAACGTATTTGGCGCTAGAACTGTCAACAAAATGCGTAGAGTAAGAGTAAGATAATGAAAACATTACTTATTGATTGTTTGGTCACTTTTTCTTCCTTTTTGAAGCAGCCCCCATACATATTAATCGTTTTTAAATTATTAAAGTTATTAATAAAATGACATGCAATTCATTAGATGTATCTGTTTATTAATCGTATTGTGTCTAACTGAAAACATGTTCGAACACTCACAAGAGAATGCTAAAGATGTTTCGTATGGATAATAAAGTTTATCATGAGATCGTGAATGAACCACTGCATTACCGGGTAGCCCGTATTTACAAGAGTGAATAATATGGACGCTCTTCTCTCCATGCGGGTTTTGTTGTTCTACTTCGTTAGATACCCGCGATGCATAAATGCAATAAAACTCCGAGATGATCGTGCTATGTGTACTGAGCTATGCGTAGTGCTATGTGTACGTGCTATGTGCTATGAGTTTTGCGTATTGAGTAGATCTGGAATCGGAGAGTGTACGCATTAACGGCGTGTAGCTCAACACATGATGTTGTTTAACTGTAACACTAGAGCCACAAACATATTAAGAAGTTCTGCAGAATGCATCTTAAATATGGTAGAATATTCCGTGCATGATTTAAATAAACTGACGCAAGTGTACACTCCTTTTAGAGATTTTGTAATTGTACAAAGCCCTTTGTGCTCTAGGATGGCTCAAAGGCAGCGAACTAGCTTCCTGTGGTGCGATCTCGCGCTCGATTCCCAGTCAAGGCAAAAATAAAGTTGTGGATTCCTTTAAAATCGTCTCAGTTTCTGTAGCTGCGTGACGATGAAAAGCTCAGACAGGCAGAGTTTGCTACTTTCGGCGAAGGTAATACGTCATG